TATCATGACGAAATAAATTTTTTATCATTATTATCAAAATTAAAAGCAATTGTCACAAATAAGTTTATCACAATAAATTTTTATATATTATGACGAAAATTTTGTTACTTCAAGAAGATATCATATAAATAATATAAAAAATTTTTATATTGAATAATTTTTCAAATAATTGCTTCAAGCGTGAAACTATTATATAGTTAAAATTTATTTTAGTTACAAAAATGATTACAACTTAATAATTCAAAATTTCAAAATAGTATGTTATTAGTTTTTTTTTTTTTTTTTACCTTTTAAATAGGTAGTAATAATTGGTAATATTTCTATATTAATAAGACAGTTGGAAATGTAGCATTAGATTGAAGTAACATAAGGAATAGTAAAATAATACACACAAATTATAATTTAATTATTAAAACAAAAATAATGTGATATTAAATATAAAATTAAGTCTCTAGTGAAAAAAATAAAATAAAATAGTCAAATAATGTGATGTTTTATAGCCAAATATTAACTTAAAAACCCTCACCAATTTTTTTATTTCTGTACAACTAACCGTCGCCTCCTTCACTCTCTTTTATCTCCGTGACTTGTTTCGCCATCGTATCTACCTTTCACAGCATTTGCCTTCACCATCCTTCACTACTTGCCCCTGTTCAATTCCTTGATGTCTACCTCCACCGCATTAATTCACTACTTCTTTATTGTTTCTAGTATCATCACAGATTGGGAGCAGGTACAAGTTTTATTGTTCTTTATTTTTTGTTTTTCTTTTTTTGGCTAAATGAGTTTCTCATTGTTTTCTTTTTTCTATTGCAGGAACATGATCAAGAAAAAAAATAGAAAACAAAAAGTAAACTGATTCGCCAATGGAATTTTAGAGAAGATGGAGAAGGTGGTTCCAACAAATCTACCATCGTGGCCTCATTATAAGTAGGATTATATTTTTTTAATTAATTGTAACTTTTTATCTTTTATTATATTTTTGTTAGTTGTAGACTTAAATTATAGAATTTGTACATAATTTCTTGATCACTCATTTCAATGTAAATAAATTGTTTTTAGTATATGAATGCAATTTAATTTTTTATTTTATTTCTATTTATTTGAGTCTCCGTGAATTATCCCTTTTAATATTGTAATGATATTTTCTTTTTTAAACTTAATGATAAAATTTCCTAAAATAAATGAGTCCAGAAAATAATATAAATTTATAGTGACAATTAATTCATTTAAAGTGTATCATAACAAGTAATAAATATTTTCACAATATATTATATCAACAAAATAATTTATCACTATTCATATTAAGACAAAAGAATTTTATCACAATTTATTATTTTGATAAATTTTTATTTGACACCAAATAAAGTTTAGTCACAAAAAAATTTATTTTCTAGTGCTAAGCATCACTAGTTGTGACAAAATAATATTTTATTATAACAAACATTTGGTCATAATAGGTTAGTCCAGATGACAAATTCACTTGTCACGATAATTTATTCATATTGTAACGAAATATGATTTTGTCATAACAGAATTATTAAGACAAGCTTATTGTAACAAACTTGATGACAAACTAAGTTGGTCACAAGTATTATATTATGACAAAATGAGTAATTATTATGACAAATTAATTTGTTTTAATAAACCCAATTTCTTATACTGCACATTTTGAAAACTCCTTAATAGGTAATGTTTGATTTCTGATTCAAAAATCAATTATAAAGGGGAGAACTTATATAACTTATTAGCTTGATACGAGTAAGTGTTATTAAATTTAATAGCATGTCCCTATAAAAATAGAGAGCTTCATTCTCATAATAATCCTTGTAATATATAATTGCAATTATTTAACAATTAATTATACTAAATCATTTTGAGTATAAACTAAAAGCAACAACGGGTTGTCCTATAATTATTTCAATTATTACATACCATAATCATTAAAGGTTGACAAGTAAATTCACCATCATTCTCAAGAGAAATTGTCTTAATAGCATAATCTGGAAATTATATTCTTCATCAAATTATTTGCGCAAATAATCATGCAAACTTTTAGTTGCATGTTGATAATAATCTTTGCAAACTTCAAGTTGCAAGTTAATAATAATCATAAAACTATCTTTTTGAATGCATCCATACAATATCCAAATAATCCACATAATGGATGATTGATCAATAATTTTACTTTATATATTTCAGAAAATGCACGCAGTTCAATTTAAACTTTTGATGGTTGCTCAATAATTAATTTGATTTGAGAATAAACTAAGCATGCAAAATTCATTAGATTTGAAGAAATTTCTGGTTCTTCAAGAAACATCCATATACAGATTTAAATTTTTTTCTTTTTTGCATCATTATTGACCGATATGGTCCAAACTAATCATGTCAAATAATAAAAGTACTTGGATTTGTAAATTTCTGGTTTACAATCATATTTATTTCAATTAATATCTCTATATTATATACATTTAATGAATATTCTTTGAAATAATGCATTATGCGTAAGATCCATTCCTCTAAATAGTAACACTTGTTCTTCTAGAGCATTTAAAAATTCTTTTACTACTAAAGTCAAATTTGCCTTTCAATATTTTGGTGTACAATAAGTATATAAGCAATATCCATATATGCCACATTATTTGTACCACTTCTGATGGTAAAATTTATTCTTAATTATGTGGCCATCATAATTGCTAAGATCATTACTTCAACTGTGATCTTACTAATATTTTTAGCAATAAGTATATCTTTTTTATTGTTCATGTCCACACCCAAAATCATATATTATTGCTTTCACTTCAGGGAATGCATCAAATCTAGTTGGGTGGATTTCAATACTCTCGTGTCTAGTATTATGTGTCATTGCATTTACTTCAGGGAATGCATCAAATCTAGTTGGGTGGATTTCAATATTCTCGTGTCTAGTATTATGTGTCATTGCATTCACTTCAGGGAATAGAGAAAATATAGCTGGGCAAGCTTCATGATATTTATAAGGAGCTTTTTATTTTGCTCAATGATAAAAGGACATGAAATAAATCCAAAGTTTCTCTTAAAATTTTTTCTCTCAATATGCTACTTCAGGAGCATATCCGAGGTATAAATATCATTGATAATTCTAGATCAATGATTAATATCATTCCAAACATAATAATGACAATATATTAATTATATTTAAAAATAAATCAATTGATTCTCAAAATTGATAGCACATGAATAATTCATGACATATAATTTTTTCCGTAATATAAAAGGGCTATAATTTGGCATAGTAATGAGGGGAGGACCTTATGCTCGCAAGCCCAAATCTGCATCATAAATAATCCAGAAAATAGTGAATAAGAAGAAGAGCAAGAATAAAAGCAGAAAACAAATAATAACCGGAAGATGAAATTTTATACCCCGATGGCCTGCTTGTAGCTGACTTTTAAATATGCTCATCGGATGCACAAGTCCATACCATAATACAGATAAGACAGGGCGACAGCTCCCTAGTTGAACTGCCTAGTGGCATCAAGTCCGCGTCGTTACCATGGTTAGTGAATAAAGTAGTCCATAGCAGATAGAATATATAGGCTCGAGCCGCCACATCCTTGTCCATCTTGGCCACCCTGTCACGCCTTGACTCTAATCACTAGAGGAATTGTCCGCTTTAGTGTAATCCACGGACGCTCTACACCTCAGTGTAGTCCCCGCACGCCCTACCCGCACGGTTTTGTCCCGCAGGTGAAATGGGAAACTTCCCAGGAGGTCACCCATCCTAAAAGTACCTGGAGCAAGCTATATATTAGTGATCTTTTAACACTCAATCTAAAGGAAAAATAAATTGTCAATCACATTAATATCCTAGAATTATAAACGAAGCAGGAAAAAATAAGGTTTACACCTCCGCACCACCCCCCGCGGCCAAGAGCTGCAATATTCCGTCCTACTCTCACCCCCCCTTCCAGGGCAAACTACACGAAATTTGGAAAAAATGGAGTCTATGATATATTGTTAAGACGCTGATCTTTTTACTTTTTGTTAATATTAATTATTTGTCTCATATATATAACACGGATGCACACACAGTATTTCCATATTTTGACTACAATTGCATACATTCAATTACACAGACTCAATTTGTAACTAATTTACAACAACCATTTAGTGTAGCTGCACTGAAGTGAAAACAATTGAGAGTGGGCCATTTATTTCCGCATCACTGATCTGAGGCCTCGCACACGTATGGTCACTAACTTCCGTGCCGCGTTCGAGTAGTTTGTACCTGCCCTAAATGTGAGTGCTAGCATGAAATAAAGTTTCACACTCGCCATGTGGCATGTATCAGCACATGATGCATAGGATGAGAAATATGTATATGAGGGACCCTACCAGGGTCCCCCCTTACTGGACATATGTGCGGCGTGTCTTCAATGCAATTTATCTATGCTTCATTTTATCCTATTGAGCTCTGAAGCATATCTCAGACATTTTACCTCTCGCGCCACTTGTTAACTAATTACTCTTATTAATATAACTTCCTTTTTGTCTTATTTAAATTAATTATTTTCTTTTTAAGGGTTTTATCAAGTATTCTGGAGACCTCTAATGACCATATGTTAGGAGGTATACTTTTTCACATCAGAATTTGACAAACCACGAGTTGGTAGTACCCACCCTCGCTCAGATATATGGTTCAAATGTCATTGGGTTTCCCCTGGATTGTTGGTTGAATTATCATAATGATACCATCTATGAGTGGGACACAGCGCGGATATAATGAGTATATAAACATCCCTGGCAACACACAGTCGCTACCTTCTGCTTTCCCTTTTTCCTTTAATCTTTTTTTTTGTTTTGTTATTTTATATATATTTTTTATATTTAATTAATATATATATATATATGGATATTTAGTATTTGTAGTTCTCTCCAATTTACTTCGTTTTTAAAAATTTAATTGTAATGTAAATTTGTCCTTAATGCAGGACGCAAACTGCGACCTTTAAATTATGGCGTCTCCTATTAACTATGAAATCTCTAGAACTAGGCCAACAAATATGGGAAATAGGGTATTTCCCGCGCAAAATCGGTGCGGAAGTTTTATGGTTTACCCGCTAGGGAATTTCTGTAATGGTGCCATGGGGAGGTACTAACCCCAGTAGCAACTGACCACTGTCAGGAGGTTGTTCAACATCCATACAATTTATTCATCCTGAGATTGCAACCAAGCCTCATATTAGATATAAGAGTCTTTTGCATACACTCTAGCGACCAGCATTTTTATATTATCGAGCTTTCCCAAAGTTTGCAACGACTAACATCTTAAGATGATTTGTTTATTTTCTTTAAACCTATAATATGTTTTTTAATGTGTAGTTTTTAGGCAATTAATGGATTATGGGATAGAATATACCTGACTTATACTCACCATACCAGAAGATTTCTCATAACTTATGCCATAATGTGTGGCAATGAATGGTAAAGCTCGCAGTCACGAGTTGTGTTTTTTATTCATGTTTTTCCAGCAAGGTTGATTTATCTCGTCATTGATGCCAGATTTTGTTAAAATTTAAAGAATTACATTATATCATGAAGACATACTGTGAATATTTTCTTGGACCAAAACTTGTTGGTCTAGAATCTTAATATCTAGTTGGTTCTTCTCAGGCATATTAGATAGAGCGCGTTTACTCTTAATAACTTGGAAAAAGGTGCAGTTTATTTACTGAAAGCCACAAACCACTATTTTTATTTTCGATTATATGTTATTCGACTGTCATACTATGGCCTCACCTTAACTTTTCGAGCTGCCAACCCCTGTTGCACTTCGAAATGGGAACTTTACCCATTGCAGTGATCGGCTCTTCGCTGATTTCCCCTGCCACTATGCAAGCCTTGCACGCGACTGACTATATCCCTAGCTAGCTCCTATGAACCAAAAGTCGGTTTATTTTTTCAATCCTCTCTTATTATTACCTGGCAAACCTTTGCAGAAAGGGGATATCTTTAATATTGAGAACCCTTTCTTTCTGTCAATAACATAGGTGAAGGGTTCAACCTGAATGGAGAAGTGCCCGAAGCTGCACCTCATTTTCACACAGGAGGCCAGGAATACTATCGCGACTAGGCTTCCCAATGGAACAATTCCTTTCGTTTGGCATTTGCCAAGCCCACAGTTGGAGAATTTTAGAAATCTAGACTATCGAGGGGATCGTACCCCAGGTGTTTTTATAACCCGTTGATGTGCCTGACCATGATGTACTTGTCGATGGAAAATACAATTTATTCTGACTTCTCAGGTACAAAGATCCTACCACAATAGATACAATTAAGGATTTTGTTTTGGCACCTTGGTCGGTACAGATATTCACAAACACCTGCTTTTGGGGCATCTAACTGATAATGAGGATATAGTACCTCACCTCACATCTCTGGGACACACACTTTCGGTTGGAGATATGCTAGTGCCAACGAGCCGGCTTCCAAATCGACTTGTCAATATGATATTAAGCATTCCGTATAATTCGGTAGTAAGAGAAAGGCTCGGCTCCTCAAGGCCTCCTTTAGGAACTATGATGGACTTATAATAATTTTTAAGTTAGTGAATTTTGATTCAGCGATTGAAGAAAAATTTTCACATTTTTCTTTAGTGTGTTAAAGCATCCCATGTTTATCGTTATTTTCATTTTTATCCTGTTATATGAGATCTAGAAGAAATTGTCCCAATAGTGTTTAATGAGTAAAAATGAACATAAGAATAAATGTTTCTACATGGCTTTAATGCGATATTACTCTCCACCGTTACACACTTGTTATTGGTGAAAAGTTGTTTACGAGAGAGGTAAATTAATTTCTGCATTTGAAAATAAGGTTATGTGGAGGGCAGTAATGTTCAACTGTAATACATACCTAATGATTAGTTTTCCCTTTTCGATATATGATTCGATTCATTCCTCTGTCCCGCATTCCACTACCCTAGCTAGCCTGCCATCCTAGAAGCTAGCCAGGAACTTCGCTCTACCCGTCCTCTTAGGATTGTTTTGCCTGGTCGGGATATCACAAACCTGCTTTTGGGGCATCTCCTGATAATGAGGATATATACTCTCACACTTGACCCTCTGGTTGGAGATAGTAGGCTCCATGCCAATAGCAGTTCGGAGACTCGCTCTCAGGCCTCCTTAGGAACTATATGACTTATATAATTTAAATATTAAGAATTCACATTCTAATTTAAAGATTTTCTTTTTTTTTTATTATTATTGTAACAAGAAATTCTGTCACTTTATCGATACCTCCAATTTTGAGTTTACATTATTTGATTTAAAATGGTAGGTGAATGCAACTTCCAATATGACTCTTGTGGCACTCGGTGTTCTCAAATTGAAATGTTAATTAGTTAAATTGAATATCATTTGAAATGAAACTGAAAATCATGCATACAAAAAATCAAATTACCTTCTTTAAACAGAAGCCAATGTAGTTGCTTTACATAATTAGGCTTGATAGGAATTAAAACCCAGTGAAAAAACATTAATAATGATGATGATGATGATACTCAAAAATATAAAAAAATTAATCAAATTTTGATTTGTTTATACGTTTTAATTAAAGTTTATGGACGTACATATTATCATTTTATTTTAAAAGTGAAACAAAATCAATTAAATTAATTAAGGTTAATTTTTTGGTAGTGACGATTACAGTATGCATAATCATCAATTAACTATAAATTAAAAACTGTCTGGGATCAACCGGGAACGCGCTTGGCATGGTCACGTTGATGGGTCTATTTTTCAAACTTCTCATATGGCTGGTTATGGTGTTTGTTTCGAGGATGAAGAAGGGCGTTTTATTAGAGCATTGTTATGATAGCAATCCTGGTCTAGCATTAGTGGACCCATTAGCTTTCCGTTTTGCTATTATTTTTGTTTGTTCTCATATGCAGGGCAGTGGAACTTTATACACTGATTCCCAGCAGGTCTATTTGGCTTTAGTTAATTCTTATACTGATTTTTCTGAAGTTAGGTTATTGATTAGTGATTGTAAGTTCCTGTTATCTTCTAGGCCTGATATAAACATTAAATGGGTTCGTCGTAAAGTGAATATATGTGCTTATTTGTTAGCTAGAGCATCCTATCGATATGTTAGAGTCCAGAAATGGAATATTGTTCCTGATTTTTTGTTGGATTATTTTTCCTTGAGATAATAATATGAGCATTATTTCTTTTCAAAAAAAAAAAAAAATTTATTAGTCTTCTATGAAATATTAATTGCCTTTTGTAACTCTTCAATAATATTCATAATGCTAAATTAGTTGCCTTATATGATTGAGCTTTAATAGGAATAAAAACTCAGTCAACAAATACTGATAATTTTTAAGGAAATAAAATCAATATTCAAAATTGTAATGATACCTTCTTCAAATGTAGAGTTGAATAATAATAATAAATAATAATAATAATAATACTTGCAAATCTAAAAATATTAATCCAATTTAATTTTTTGTACGATTTAATTAAAGTGTATGGACAGACATATTGTCATTTTATTTTAAAAGTGAAACAAAATATATTAAAGTAATTAGAGTCAATCTGCATCGAAGATGAAGGGAGGTATGGGTTTTCGGGACCTTTATCAGTTTAACATTGCTATGCTTGGCAACCAGGGGTGGCGTTTGCTTACGCAAACTGATACTTTGTTCTATAGTATTTTTAAAGCTAAATATTTTCCGTTGGGGGATTTTTTGAAAGCTTCAAGGGGTACTAACCCGAGCTTTGTTTGGACTAGTATCTTTGCTACTATTGACTTGTTGAAAAAGAGTGTTCGATGGAAGGTGGGAGATGGTAGGAGTATTTTAAAGCTAAATATTTTCCGTTGGGGGAATTTTAGGGGTGGCGTTTGCTTACGCAAACTGATACTTTGTTCTATAGTATTTTTAAAGCTAAATATTTTCCGTTGGGGGATTTTTTGAAAGCTTCAAGGGGTTCTAACCCGAGCTTTGTTTGGACTAGTATCTTTGCTACTATTGACTTGTTGAAAAAGAGTGTTCGATGGAAGGTGGGAGATGGTAGGAGTATTCTTGCTGGTAGTGATCCTTGGATCCCGAAAGAAGGATCTTTTATTGCTGATGATGGGGCTGTTTTTGTTGATGGTGCCTTGAGAGTCTCAGATTTGATTTTGGATGATGGTAGAAGGTGGAATATTAAAGGGCTCATGGAATATTTCTCTGCCTGCGACGTAAATGCTATTCTCTCTATTCCTCTTAGTATGTTTAATGCTAAAGATTCTCTGATATGGCACTTTGATAAGAAAGGCATGTATACTGTTAAATCCGGCTACCATATTAGCCATGCCTCCTATGATCTTGCTGTGACTCAAAGTGAGTTATGGAAGCGTATCTAAAGCCTGAAAATTCCTCCAAAAATTCGTGATTTCATGTGGCGTGCTATGCGTAATTTCTTGCCAACTAAACAATGTCTTCAACATAGAGGAGTTGATATTGATAGCATTTGTCCCTTATGTTTTTCTATAGAATCTGTGGATCATGCTTTGCTTCATTGTGCTTTGGCCTCTCGTTGTTGGAGTGTAGTAGGTGTTTTCTCTTTAGTCCCTGGAGATTCCTTTTCCAATGTTTTCATGAATATTTGGAGTCATAAGGGAAGAGAGGTGGCAGAATTATTCTCTTTTATTGCATGGAACATTTGGAATTCTAGAAATAATTTCTTTTGGTCTTCTAAGGGTATCTCCCCTAATCAGCTGGTTTACAATGCTGTGTCGTATTTAGTGGAATGGAGATCAATGGATAATCTTAGGAATTTGCACACTCAAACAGGTAGATATGTTGCTGATGAAGTTAACACTATTGACAATTTGCAAACCTTCCTGTCCAATGGCGGTTGGAGTTTATTTATAGATGCTGCTTTGTTTCGGCAAGAAGGGTTCACTGGTTTTGGTGGCGTTGTGGAAACTGCTGAAGGTAGTTGGTTTGGGGCAGTTTCGGGGTTCTTGGATGGAGTCCACAATCTAGCAGTGGCTGAAGCTTTGGCTTGCCGTTCGGCTATTATTTATTCTTCTCATTACTTGAGTGATGGTGGTGTTATTTACACGGATAGTCAACAGCTTGCTTTGGCTTTGCATTCTCCAGCTTTGGATAACTCCTCTTTTGGGTCTATTATTCAAGATTGCAGGTCCTTACTTGTTGCTAGGTCTAACACTAGAGTTAGATGGATTGGTAGACATTTAAATAGAGCTGCACATGTTTTAGCTCATGCTTCGATTCGTTTCCCCCGTTTCACAATTTGGGAAACAATTCCGGATGTTATTTCCTCTCTATATGTTGCTTAATGAAGTTGGCTTTTGCCTTAAAAAAAAAAAAAAAAGTAATTAGAGTCAATTTTTCTTAGTGATTATTACAATATGCATAATCATTGACTATAAAATTAAAAATATAATTTATAAATACTCTATTACATATTAATTGCCTTTTCTAATTCTGCCTTAATAATGTTCATAATGCTAGATTAGTTGCCTTATATGATTGAGCTTAAATAGGAATTAAAGCTGAGTCAACAAATGTTAATGATTTATAAGGAAAATAAATGTTCCAAATTTGAATGTTACCTTCAAAACGAAATTAAATGCTTTTCTAATAAATGTTAATTGCCTTTTATAATTCTGCCTTAATAATATCAATATTAGATTTTGATATTCTTCCTTTTATTACAAACATTATAAATATTAGCCTTTTATTGCCTTTTCTAATATCAATAATATAAATAATATTAGTTTTTAAAGCTTTTCAAAATTTGCAATAAAAAGAAGAAGAGGTTTTGAAAAAGTCAAAGTGTTTGTTTTCTTTCCCAACAGCCTTTCAGTATCCTATTTGTTTAATCATTATTACCTGGATTATTCAGTAATCAAAGAAACATTTCTTATACTCGAAGAAGAACAAGGAGAAGAAGAAGAAGAACCTTTGAATTGTTTCCAATTGTCTTAATGTATGAAATTTGTTTAATTTATTACAAAGACATGTTTAACGTTTATGTATTTATGTGAACAATAAAATTACAATTGTGAAGTTGAAAAGTTTAGAATTAGAAGTGTATGTTTGCTTCCCTTGACAATATCATTTTATATATATATATATATATATATTTACGAATTATAAGAAGTGTATTTGCGTTCCCTTGTACAATTATCGATTTTATACTATATTAAATAATATTATATATTTTGTGTGTCCATTCGTTGAACTGGATAAAGCATATATATATATATATATATATAGTGTTCATGTTGAATGATAAAGCAACATTCAATTTCATTTACCTTTCAAATATTATCAGTATGACTATGGAATACTCTTTTCTTCATGAAATAAATAGAACAAGAGTGATTGGTTGATAATGGTTAGAATATGTAGGATGTGGGAGTCTGTAAATCTCAAAATTGAATCTGAACTGATAAGTTTAGATATGGTGCTTATAGATGAAAAGGTAACTGCAAATCATATATTTTTGGATTTGAATGTTATTTGAAAACATCTTTGTATATACGTTTTCATATCATCCTAACGTCTTTCATATTATTACAGGATAATTTGATACATGCATCAATTAGGAAAAATTAGGTTAGTACGTATAAGCAATTATTGATAGAAGCATGCATTTTCAAGATTACGAATTTCAAAGTAGTTACAAGTAATAATCAGTATCAATCAATAAAAAGCTATTATAAAATTTTGTTTCTGCTCAACACTTCTGTCAAAAAAATTAATAAAAAGATTTGCAAGGCATGGCTTTCAATTTATCAGTTCTGATTTAGTTGAAGATAAAATAAATGATAACAGGATTTTATCACGTGTGTATTAAAATTCTTTCCCTTCTATTCACAATCTTAAAATTTCAAGTATTCCTTTTCTGATTGTCAGTTAATTGTTAACTTAATCTTTATTTTTATGTAGATGTGATTGGGTGTCTATCAGGTATAGGTAATATTGAGGCCGTAGGCAATGGAAGAAAGAAAAGGGACATAGAAATAATTACCGATTAGTAGATTCATGTTGTTCATTTAAGATCTTTATTACATTTGAGTTTATATCTGTTTTGACATTGAATGTTTTTTTGATGAACAGTCCTGTGGCTGTAAAAATCACTTTGTGGGAAAAATTAGCAGAATCTTTTGATGCGAGTTTTTATTCAAAGAATTTTGGCCCTTTTGTAGTCATTGTCACATCTACAATGGTGAAGAAATTTAGAGGTTATAATTTTTGTGGTGTAAAAATAACCTTTCCACTCAAACATAGCACATGATGAAAAAAAATATATCCAATGCATTTTTTTTTTTTTTTTTTTTTTTTTCAAGAAAAAGATATATCCAGACTGCATTTTTTTTTTTTTGTTATTTTTTGTTATGGATGGCCAGATGAAAGTTATTGTTTTTTTTTTTTTTTTTTTTTTTTTTGTTATGGATGCAGATGAAGTTTTGTTTGCTTCCACCAGTGTAACGAAAGTTTATGTGAATTTGGAAATGGAAAATGTTGCAACTTTGCCAAAAGCCACCCATCAACTATAGCCGCCAATTTTGATTTTTTCTTTTTAGATCAAAAAAACCAATTACAACTTCATGAAGTTCAAATTTCATAGTAAGCTCTGTATTTGGCTTCTTTTCCATTTATGGATATATTATATTTTTATTTTTATATTATTTTGTGTGTTTTAAGTAAGAATTACAATCAATATTGTCAAAAAATATGATTTTAGAAGCTGCTTTTAATAGAAAAATTAAACTCAATTCATTTCAGATATGACTGTGAATTCACTATCAAATCAAGCAAAGAAATTCTGGCAATTTAATAAGTACATGTTTATGCTTTGAGAGCCATGACTTTGAAATATGACAGGACATACATATATGTACAAAGTTATATACTTTCTTCTATTTAAGGAAACCTAAGCTACAAAATAAACTAATATTACAATAAGCTACAAAATTTTTCATATGTAAATCTCAGCTAAAAAAAATACCGAATATGTGTTGTGAACTATACAATAAACTAATGTTACAATTACCTTCTAAACTATTCTTTTTTAAAACTCGCACCTTTCTTAAAAGGTGCAATATCATTTTCCATATTTTGATTTCTTAAAATTTAACTCAAAACATATATCTAATAATTTAAATAAAAAATATTTTTAGTACAACTGCGCAAAGCGCGGGTATTCGTCTAATACATTATTATTATTCTATTCAATGGAGATTATTCATGATATCACTAAAACATATATTAATAAGTGAATCATCAAAACTTTATAACTCAATCACACGAAAAATTCTGGCATCACTACACATTTCCGTTTGGGAAGAATATACACATGTAGTAGAATTTTCCAAATTATAGAGCTCACAATTAAGAATGCACCAACTTTCGACGGTCAATCCCCTTTGGATGAATAAACTTCTAAGCTAGTGTATCTCCAAACACAAATGATCCATCCCATACAGGATTCCAAATTAATAAATAGAATGACTCCCTTTGGGCAGACCATTATATATAATAAACTAAAATTACCATCTCATCACAAATAATTGAAAATACTGTTATAAATCTCAATAAATGTTCCACTTTGGTGGTAACACTTAAACTGACTTATAAAATTTCTCAATTAGAGACTTTGCAATTGATCACAATTAGAATGTAAACTATACTCAAATATATACATATAAATATATTTGAGGTACTAAATTCAATGTCCCTTTTCTTTATTAATTATTACATGATACTACAAAAATGCATATTATACTCAAATGCATGCATGTAAACATATATGAGATACTACTCAACAATGTACTCCTTATTTTCATTACATACTAGCATATATTGGTCTTAATCATACTTTACAAATTTAATGTTATATTAAATTTGTTACCCAATATGAATAAGTTCAATAATTTAGTTAGAGTCAATTAACATATATATTTTTTTAAATGCAAGTTTTTTTTTTAAGAAAATGATCCTTTTATTTATATCTCAAATACGTAGTCCCCATAGCCTCCAATAATACAATACCTTTAATCAAATGAGGCAAAGAATTAAAAGAGGTAAAAGAAAGAGAAGTATGGTGGAGCCTTTGATGAGTGGCCAAAAGAGAAGTATGGTGGAGCCTTTGATGAGTGGCCAAAAGATGTGCGGCTTGATTTCTTTCACGATATATGTGATGAATGGAGGAAGAGTGAAGATGCAACAAGTCAGCAACACGCAGCAAAACCGAGGGACCTGCTCTAATCCATTGTGCCCGATTAACGTGAGCAACTAGATCCAGACAATCCATTTCCACCTAGATGGGATAAAAACCTTTATCAATACTCCAGGAGAGCCCCCAAATCAAAGCCTCAAGCTCTGCTTCATAAGCTGTCCCGGCAACAATCGGAAAACAAGCGGCACCCAAATCAAAGCCTCAAGCTCTGCTTCATAAGCTGTCCCGGCAACAATCGGAAAACAAGCGGCAACAACAAAATTACCATGGCTGTTTCGAAGGATAGCACCCCCCGCTGCTGAAAATTTGTTGAAAGACGCATCAATATTCAGTTTATAGCAATCTTGCCTAGGCCGAATCCAAGTAATAGTCATTGGCTTTAATTTTTGTTTGCCAAAAGAAGCCGAAATGATGTGGCAATCAGCTTTTGCTGACCAAGTTGTTGCAAATCTCTTACCAGAATTGGCAATGCTCCAGTTTAATAACAACCTACTGATATCTTGTAAAAGGAGGTCTGGAGAGGTCTGGAAAGCAAGCTTCATTATCCCAATTACACTTACAATACATTTTCCACATAGACCATACAATTACCTGTGGTACCAAGCGCCTAAGCTTACTCATAGCCGAATCTAGCCTGTCACAAAGCCACCAAAAAATCAACTCTTGCCGCAGAGAATTTTGTGACTCAAGAGTATCTAGGAAAAAAGAGCCGAAATAAGTCCAAAGCTTAGCAATAATGGGGTAGAAATAGAAAAGGTGGTCAGCAGTTATCTCCGACTTAAAGCAAAATGGGCAACGGGATGGACCATAAATCCCGAATATTTGAAGACGTCTCGACAAAGGTAAAGCTCCCCTGAGGAGTTTCCATGTAAAAATAGAAAGCTTAAGCGGAAAAGATGAATCCCAAATAGCGTTGCTTGAAAGGCAAGAAGCTTTGCTCTCTCTAACACAATCGTAGGCTGAAGCAAGAGTAAATTTGCCATTCCTTTCTCCTCGCCACACCACATTATTATCTGCAAAATCAACAAGTGGGAAAATAAGAGAGAGAACTTGACAAAATCCATTTCCAAGTGCAAGAATCGATAAGTT